CTGTGGGGTGACTGGCAAGGTTATTGGGGGGGCCCCTGCTGGCACCCACCTTGGCTGACCTGGGGCCTGCAGGCTGAGGGCAGCTTCTGTGTTGAGGGTCTGACCTCAGTGGTCAGTGCTCATCTTAGTGACTGGTCGTTCCACCAGTGTTCTGCTGTTCAGTTGATATGCATATTAGGCTTTTATTATATAGGATTGTGTGGTAGTAGCACTTAAGCTGCTTCCAAAGATTATTTAGTAAGAAAGAGTATGCCTGATAATTCTGATAATGCCAGACTTTTCTGATCCCTTCAAGTCCCTTCCCCTATTCCTGCCCCCCACTCTCAACTTTCATTCTTGAAGACTCCAATATCTTCTTCTCTGCGAAGTCTTCTCAAATGCCATCATGTGAATTTCACTACTCCTTGCTGGGTTTTCCCACTGAACCTTGTAAGCACCTCTATTAAAACATTCAGTGGTGCCCTGACTGGTTTGGCTCAGTGGATAGAGCGTCGGCCTCCGGACTCAAGGGTCCTGGGTTCGATTCCAGTCAAGGGCATGTTCCTTGGTTGCGGGCACATCCCCAGTGGGGGATGTGCAGGAGGCAGCTGAGCAATGTTTCTCTCTCATCGATGTTTCTAACTCTCTATCCCTCTCCCTTCCTCTCTGTAAAAAAATCAATAAAATATATTTAAAAACAAACATTCAATGGTGTCCTGGCTGGCATGACTCAGTGGTTAGAGCATTGGCCCACACACCAAAGGGTTTCAGGTTCGATCCCCAGCCAGGTCAGGGTGCTTGTGAGAGTCAATCTCTCTCTCTCTCTCCTCTCTCTCTCCCCCCTCCCCTTCCTTCCTTCAACTTGTTCTAAAAATCAATACAAAAAATATCCTTGGGTGAGGATTAACAGAAAAATAAAAACAAATAAATAAACAAACAAACACCAGTAGAGCACAGGTGTGGACCAATCAGTCTGGAAAACAGCTGTGAATAACACTGGTGTGATGGGACTAAAAAAGAGCCCTCGGCCTATGAGCTCTTTAAGGGCAGGACACTTGGTACATTTGACTTCATATTTTTAGCACCTTGCATAGTACTTGGCATGTAATTAATTGATCAGTAAACATTTTATGAGTGAATAAATGAGACCTCAAGAAAAGTTATACATTAATTCCAAGGTAAGTCCTGACATCTTAGCATGACTTCAGGATTGCCTAGTACCATTTAACCTTAGACATTAGTCTAACTTGAGGCAAATGTGTTGTCCTTCATATTAGATGATGCTCATGACACACTCCATAAGACCTATGCATTGCATTGTCCCCACAGGCAAATTGTCCTGAGCCATCTGCTCTCTCTCTCTCCCCTTCCCTGCTGTATATTTGATGAAAAATAACACTGGTGTGATGGGACTAAAAAAGAGTCCTCGGTCTATGAGCTCTTTAAGGGCACTTGGTACATTTGACTTCATATTTATAGCACCTTGCACAGTACTTGGCATGTAATTAATTAATCAGTAAACATTTTATGAGTGAATAAATGAGACCTCAAGAAAAGTTATACATTAATTCAAAGGTAATTCCTGACCTCTTAGCATGACTTCAGG